GAATTCTATTCAAACCACATTACCTTGTCTAGATATGGCCACATTAATTCAACAAACTTGTTAAGCCAGTCAACCTGCACAAACCATAAGTTTGGATGTAAATAACTAAACCCAAAAGGATTTACATTTGACTTTCCAAAGTCAAATAAGCTTCTTTTCAATTTTAAATTGGATAAAACACTTTGATAAATAGATCAATCCATGAAAAGGGTATTGAGATTTACGTATTTGAAGCTAAAAACCGAAATATTTTAGATTAACTTTGAATTGAAAGAGTACTAGATTCAAATTYCATAATCAAAAGTTGACCTAAAAGCAAGAACATACCCGATCATGATCAGGATTTTTCACCCACATGGGTATCTCAGGAAGCATCTGTTGCAGAGACTTCGAATCTCGTTCAACCAAAGGGCGTATTTTCGGATTCTTTGATATCAAAGTAACAGAAACATAAAATGAGTATTTAATTGCATAGGGAAAAGAAATAATATGATTAGAGGTCACCGGCGACCGGCGACTAGCGACCGGCGACTAAACGGCCTGTACGACCGGAGACATTACCTGATGGAGCGTCGAGAAGCTGCTGCGCGTCACCGTCACCGAAAACAGAGGTGTGGGCGATGGAGGTCACCGGCGATGGAGATGTGGAAGATGGAGGTCACCTGCGATTTTCCCTTAAGGAGACGATGATCTAGCGTTTCGTGTGGAAGGGTAGAGAAGGAGAGAGTGGGCTGGTAGGTGTGGAAGGGTAAAGAGGGAAAATTAATAATCTGAATGGTTTAGCATGGATTCAACCTCAAAATGGTTAAGAGCTTTGAGTAACCATTAAGAGGCTTTTATTTTTTTGCCAAACAKGTCTCACCTCTGACCGATTAAGAGGTTCCCTCTTAATGTCACCATTAAGAGGGAAACAAACAGCCCCTTAATTAATTTACTTTATGTTCTTTACTTTTAAATGTTTCATTTTAAATATTTATCAAATTAATATACATAATCGTATATCAATTAAAACATGTTTAAAAAATACATTTTTTATTTTAACAAGTTATACCATTATAATCGTCTCGTTAATACCTTCGAAATGAGTCCAATATTGAATAGTTTTTGACTTATTTATATTATTATATGTTATATATACTGTGAAAAAATATTTTTAATATTTACGATTTATACTTTTATAGTTATTTATATATATATATATATATATATATATATATATTGGGGTTAGGTTGTCCAAATTGCATTGTATAATATGTTCTGAATTAATATGTTCTTGGTTTTTTTTTTTTTTTGAAATATATATACATATATTAATTCAACCTTAATCTAAGTTTCTGGACAAGAAAGAGGGTAAGCAGTTGAAATTTCATTCTAAAACCCATCTTTTTTGGTTTTTTCACGGCTTATGATCTGTCAAATTTGTAGTTTTCTTTATTGGTTTTGAGWGTTTATCTTAAAACTCAAGTTTCTTGGTTATTTGCTCTTGGTGTAAATCGAACACTTTTGTGGAGTCGTTTAAATATGTTGCATTTTAAATATATTGGATTTTAAACTGTCATACAATTTTTTTCATCGATGGTCTGTAATTAGAACCATAACTCTTATTTATTCAAATTGTATTAATATATAAAGACCAAGTGTAACMTATATCATCGTTAAATCTTATCTTATAAAACCAGTGGAACTTCAAAATCGTTAAAATTCATGGCTCCCGCTGCATTGCACGGGTACACAACTAGCATATATATATATATATATATATATATATATATATATATATTTAATTTTAACCGAGAAGTTATTTACAAAAATCATCGCTCCCACTTATCTTATCATGTCAGTACATCTCCAATAGATCATTTAAAATATGGAAAAAAAATCACGTCAAAAAAGTTATGTGAATCAACACCGTAGGTCATTGGAATTTCCGTCACATGACTATGTTTTCCTAAACGTTTCTCCATTGCGAGGTACACGTAGGAATGGTGATTTGTCACGAACCAGTGGGGAACCCGGTTCTCCCGACCCGAACGGGGATGGGATTTTCTTCTAAAACGGGTCCCAGGGCCGGGGCCGGGGATCCCCAGTAGACTCAAACCGGGGACGGGGGATGTTACTCAAATCGGGGTCGGGGTTCCCCGGTAGAATCAAACTAAAGGATACTATTTATGGGGTTTGACCAAGGATTGACCAGGGTTTTACCGGGTTTTGACCGGGGATTGCTAGAGATTTGACCGGGGACGGGATGATAATTCCCGTACCCATCGGGGCCGGGGGACGTTACTACAAAGTACAAACCGGGCCCGGGCCCGGGATTACAAAACCCGCCCCGTTGCCATGCCTAGGTACACGATGTTTCGTGGTCAAGTCAAAGTTTATCTTATGTTATATTGGACCATTTGAAGTTCTGGAGCGAGTTGGTGAAGTAATGTGTCGTTCCGAGTTACCTCTCCAGTTAGCAGTTATTGATATCATCTGTTGCATGTCATCGGTTATCCACTCAACAAGATTGAGCTAGAATTATCTTATGTTGAGGAACCCGAAACTATTATCAGACGTGAAGAAAGAAAAATACGTTACTGGTCGATCATATTCGTTAAAGTCTTGTAGCGAAATCATTCTGAAAATGAAGCCACATGGGAGATGTGGTGCTGGTCGGGGACCCTGGTATACTGTATTAGTATGTATAGATCCTCGTAATTCGAGTGACCTTTGTTCGTTTCTTCTCCACCAAGCACGTAAGTTTAAGGACGAAATAATCGATGAAAAATAATACTCGCAACTTTTTGTAAATTCATTATTCTGAATCGATTTCGGGTACGAGATCCTTTTATGGGAAGAAGAATTATAATACCCCGTATGTAGTAAAACTAATCTCGTGACTGTAAACTAAATTGTGTTCAATATATAAAATCGTGCTTTAATGACTTGTACCCTAGTCTCTAGGAGCTGTGATTTAGACCAAGTTTGTCATATAAATCACTCTTTAGGACCAATATTGGATCAAATAATCTTGGTTAGAACCAAAATAAGAAATTATCGAGATAGGGTTAAATTAAAAGTAAGCTAAAAGATCAAGATAGATTATAAATATTCAGTATATATAACTATATATATATAGGGGTTGATTCAAATATTAACCAAGTTTATTGTGTTAACTTTGTTAACCAAGCTTTGACCATTGATTCTTACAATGATTGTGATTTATCATATTAAAAATTTAGTTTTTAAAATTTACAATTTCACAAACATATGTGAACTAAGTGGAAAAAGGTATTTATGTAACTCCTATATCATTAATTAATAGTTACAAAATCAAAAAATCTCATAATTTTTGTTAATTTAATTTTGTTAATGTAAGAACTATATGAACACATCTATATATATATATGAACGATTGTGTCAAATACGAACAAAAATTGACATATATATATATATATATATATATATATATATGAACCTGGACTGCATAGTATTTATGAACACAATATGAACATAATAAGAATAGCTGTTACACGAAATGAAATAAATAAACAAACATGTATGAACAGCTTGTGAACAATAGTTCTTTCATTATGAACACATTCAGGAGCGAGCCACTTTTGAGATATGCAGCTAGTGTACATATGAACACTTGTGAACAATAGTTTCTTCATTACGAAAAATGGATTTATCCATAATAGCTTGAACGATACCGAAAACTTTACTACCGGATCTTCTCTACCAATCACAAATTCAAAAACATTATAAGTAGAAAAATCAATATTAAAAAAAAACAAGATCAATAATAATTAACAAAAATCATGAGATTTTTTGATCTTGTAACTCTCAATTAATGATATGGGAGTTACATAAAAAAAAATTACATATTTACCCTTGTCATTAATAATTAACAAAAAAAAGATCAATAATAATTAACAAAAACCGTTTTCAATAATAATTAACAAAAACCGTGAGGGGACCCTGTGATGTACGGACGACGTGTTCTACGACTTAGGTCACGCTAAAGGTTGTCTGTTTCTATGATTTAACATCACATGTGATGTTCTTGATGGATTATAGTATCATATAAACAACACCCTGATCTTGACTCGCAACCAAAATCGCATCGAAAATCAGCCCGCGTATCTGATTTAGTATCACATGTGATAGAATAATAGTATCACATGTGATTGTCTATAGTAAAAAGGTGCTCTAACGTTCTCGTAAAATGAAGGTGTTCTCGTTTGAACTTTTCCCTATATATATAAAAGAGTGAGTGGCATTTTTGGTCTGTGCAACTTATACATATATTTACTCATTAAAGAAGAAGGTGATAAAAATATAAAAAGACTAAAATACCCTTCATCTAATGTGATCTTTTAATGACCGTTAAAGAGAGGGACCAAATCCGATCGTTTTTACAAACCACAATGACACCAAAAATGTAATTTACCTCTTCTTTATATATCACATAGCATGCTAACCCACTCAATTCCCATAAAGGCATACATGATACTCTATATACAACGTGTCATAATCAATATAGCAAAATATATCACAACACATGAAACAAAATGTGACGACAATCTTACAACATTACAAACTAACAATATTCTATGATGATTTCTTCGATCCAAACTGTATGAGTTGGTCGGATAGATATTTTGGTACATTAAAATATTCTTTCAACATTGATTATGTTATTTCTTTATTCATAATTTCTTTTTAATCATCAATCATTTGATACAATTTATCCATACGTCTTACGTATATCACGTTCAGTTAATTTTCTCAATTTACAAATAGATATTCGCAGTTACGAAACATATATACGAATAAGTTAATATAGAGATGTGAATAGATTGAAAATATGTATATATGAAGGGCGTACGTAATAGTGTAATTGTCTAATGTGTATATTAATAAAAATTCAACAATCATGTTAAATCCAAGAAATAAAAGGATATTAGGTTCATCGGGTTGGGTTGAATTCAAATAATGGTAACTCAATATCAACTCAATACCTACAGTTTAAAAAATTTACAACTCGATTAGACATCGGGTTGCTTCATGTTGAGTTATTTCGCGTTTGGTTGGATTGGATGAATTGGGTTGGTCGGGTTTTTAAGCATCCCCAATACTTACCTAGAAAGAAAAAGACATACTACATAGCAACAACCATCTAATATAACTGAAAATAACTAAGGAACTGTTTACTAAACACTTACTTGGTAAGTGTTTAACACATATTTCCTCATCGGATGAGGATGAGAAGGGTCAAGAATCTTACCAGGTAAGAGCGATGTAAGAAGGATGAAGAGTCTTACTGTAACAACCCACGATTCCTATGTACATATAATCCACACACATTCTCTAGATCAAAATATAATATTGTTTACAAAACACAAGCTAACAAAAACTTTTGTCAATACATTTATAAGTAACGTAATTCATCAATTTCTAAACTTTCCCCTTGCCTTTATCTTGTGAGGTATGATGACCTGCAAAACAGGTTAGTCCAACAACTGAGCATTAAACCAAATAGGTATAGTGAGCGTACATAATTCATATGAATAACATACTTTCTAAACTAACAGTTTAGAATCAAACCTGTACTGACACAAGCATTTTATCTATTTTTATCACAGATCCTATCTCTTTCTCGCGGTTACACCGCCATTTCGTCTCTCTCGCGGTTACACCGCCATTTTCGTCTTTAAGAACTTTAATCCAAAATAAAATCTAATCAACATCAACCGGATTTGAAATTCGGACAAAACTACCCGGATATGGAATTCGGATACTTAGCCGGATACGGAATCCGGTCAACATTGTCCGGATGTCTAATCCGGACAACACATAAAGATTGTTACCTGATTTAATACTTGAGCGATATAGGCATATCCGGACATCCCTTAACCGATTTAAGGGAAATCCGATTAATACTTACGCGATTTAAGGCAAGTCCGGACACCCCTTGTCCGGTTTAGGTAGAACCCGGACAACACTTGACCGGTTTAAAGAAAACCCGATCAATATATATATATATATATATATACATAGTGATTTTCATAGTAAGGCAGTTTCAAATAACTTTGAAGTTATATGCAAACCTTTAATACTCATAACATAAAACACTCACCTTAAAAGCCGAATACCTTTGCTTTTGAATCTTTTCCTTCTTCAGTCAAAACCAGATGAAAAAACAAAAAGACTTATTTCTTCTAAAGAGGGTGTGTAAACTTTTTCATCTAGATCACAATTCCTATATATAGCGACAAAGGAAATTGGTGGATGATGACTCCAGCCGACTCCCTCCTTACAATAATATTTTTATTGGTAAAATAAGCGTTTATCCAGTAAATTGTTGCATTCGATATATTTTGATGTACTAACATCAACTCTTATTAGTAAAGACTTACCGGGTAAACATTTGAGTAAACGGCCCCTTGCACATACATATTAAGCTTTAAAATAAGCGGGAACGTTTAAATAAGCTTGCTTCCTTTTTTTCTTTTTGAAATATATAGTATATACGATAAATAGAACTCACACACATCCCTAAATCTTTGACGATGGCTAACAGATACCGTTTGGCCAAAAAAAACCCTTTGTCTTTGATTCTTGATAGGATATGAATCCCAACTTTTTGTGCCACTTACAGAAGAATAGAATCATGAACGAAATCCATTGTCTTTTAATCTGTCTGAATAAATTCAAGTTTCTCCATATAAAAGTCACTGAATAAGCCACGTTTTAAGCCACCATCAAACATCATATATAACTATCTGAACAGTCCGTAAAACTCGACACTTGAGGAAACAAAGAAGACAATGGAGGAGTAAGATATTATCTTTGAAATGCTGCAATGACACCAAGTACGAAACAAACCAAATAAATAGCAACCAAGTGTAATGGCGACGCGAATGATCTCAGCTGGCTTTAGCAGCAGTCGAACCAAGCTCCACCGGAGGATTATGCCGATCATACGGTAGCTTAATCCGGCCAATAGAACCTTTTGGCTTCAGCTTCACGTTCTCACAGTTACAGATCTCAATCATGAACCCATCTGGATCATTGAAAAACAATTGGTCAATCACTCCGTCTTCCTCCCCTCCCACGGTTCTCTTTATATACTTGATCCCTAAATCCTTCAATTTCTGCTCCATTGCTCCCATATCCTCGCACTGCACAATCACAAACCCTAATTATCGCATCTACACACGGAAACGCAGAAATAGAAGACGAAGGGAATTGAAAGAGGAATTAATTAAGAACCTGAAAGGATATGTGATTGTCCATTGGATCTAATCCATCGTCATTAGGTAACTTGTCTTCATCCTTCCCCTGAATCAGATGAATTCCAATTCCATAATTGAACAGCCAAGCTCCGTCGAAATCAAACGCCTGTGGCCGCTCGATTAACACGAATCCCAGTGCTTTCTTGTAGAACTCCACCGAATCCTTCACCGATTTGCAGCGCCTCGATACATGGTTCAGTGACATCATAGGGAGATCGTCTCCTCCTTCTCTGCCATCCTTCTCTTGTTTGTCCTCCATTTCCGTTCTCAGACGAGAGAGGAGGTTTTGGCGGGGTTTTATGTTAACGAATTGTCGAGTTGGGGTATAGTGGCGGTCAATGACACGTGGAACAACCAGGGTTGGGGCTTACGCGTGGATGGATATGGAAGTGACGCGTGTCGATGTTTCATTTCCAGAAAAAGCTTCAGCGTAAGGTATGTATTATATCCTAGAATTTTAATATCATGAATTTGACTATTTATTATTAGTTTATAGTTGTTTTTTGAAATTTCCTCTTAATCACTTTTTAAGTTTTAATCGTTTAGAAATTTTCATTTTCAAATCGTTTAAGAGCTTAAATGACGTTTTCTTTCTTTGAATTTTTAAGTGATAAACTTATTATTTAATATCTTTTAAATCAACTTTTTCTCGCCGGTGACCCGTCTTATAATGATCCACGATTCTCCTAACAGCCAACATAATACATAATCAAAATCTGAAGACGAGGAAGAAGATCACCATCTCCTGCTGATATCCCAATCACCTATTCTACGAATCTCATGATAAAATTGTACTCGGCGAATTATATTCAAATTCCATAATACAACTGATTTCAATTCCACCCACCATAAAAGAAACTCTAATTTTTTTTTTGTTCTTTGACTAAAACCTTGAAAGAAAGAATATAATCAATATGACTGATTTAGATTTCAGACGTAAAAACGAACAGTTTGACTGATTCAGATTTCAGACTTCAACACCACCTCTTAAAAATTAGAAGTAAAATCAGATTTCAGACTTCAACACCACCTTTTAAAAAACAAACACCACTTTAACTTTCAAAAGAATTATTTATATTTATCGAATTGATGTGTTACTTTTACAAAAGCTACAAATCTTTTGACGATATTTAAAGACCAGTTTTAAATATAAATTATAATCAGTAAAATATACATTTTAATGATACGAAAATTAAAATAGACTAAATTGCGTTAATGTTTCCCAACTTTTTAACCTCGTAACACTTACACTTCTTGATATTTAACACCGTCAGTTAACAATCGTAAAAATAAATCACTCTTTAAGCAAACTATAAATACCAAAATTGAAAATTCACTCTAATAAATGTGCTTCATGTCTTTCTATTTTTCATTTCTTTTTTATTAAAAAATATTTTATATGTCTGATCAAAAATCAAATTTCTTAAATTAAAAGAAATTATATTCATTTTAAAAAAGTATTTAATTGACAAAATGACTTTTCCATTAAAAATCTCAAGTGTAAATAAAAAAAAGTCTACATATTGAAATTAACATAATATTATTAAACACATAATAACTTTAAAGGATTTCTTATAGTTCTTGATATATAAAATATTTTTTAATAAACAAGGAATTTTAATAAAAGACATGAATCACATTAATTGGAGTAAATTACATTTTTAGTTCCTATAGTTTTCTCAAAGACTGATTAGTTTCTTGTAACGATTTCAGATTGCCTAGTATTCCACAAATTAGTAACCCAGGATTCCAGACTTTTTCGAAACGAGAGAGAAATCCACGATTGTTAACTTTAAAGTAGATAAAATAAACGACCTCACATCGACAGAAAGGTTTGGCACCTTGATATAAGATCTTCGCCACCTGGGTGGAAAATTAAACCCAGTAACTAAAAGTCTATGGCTAACCGATACACTATTTCACACCCAAAAAGAAGGGAGCTACATCTAAGTTAAACTTCGTGGATCTCTCGGTTCGATTATTAGGAACACAAATTAAATTATTTACAATTTTTAAAATAAAAAAAAAGACCTAAAAGAAGTCTAAGAACAAATGGCATGGACGGGTCCTTGCCCAGCCTTGCCAGGACCAAAGAACCACCAAGGCAGAGGATGTCTCATTGGGTTGGTTTCCGATCACGTTTAGTACGTAGACATGATTCAATATAACAGTAAAAACCTCGTCGCTCCATATTTAATTAGAGCATATCTAACGTGACATTAGACTAGAACAGAACAAGTGAGACGTATTAGCATTTTTTTTCTATCCTAGAATGTGACTATTGATGACCAACTTATAACGTGACATTACTCTCGTGTCCGTTATCTAGATATGTTATGGTTTTCCATTGTGTCGGACCATTCTCCGGACAATGAATCAATGAGACCAACCTTTTAACTAGAAATATGAAATTAATTCAAAATATGGAAGGAGGATATGATACTTGGTTTGCAGTAAGTTGCAAATCAACTATGTGAAGAAACACCAATGACGAAAACATTTTTAAATTCGAATAAGAATCAATTGGGAGCGAAGTTAACCGCTGATGATCAAATTCAATGTCTTGAATCGTTAAGAGGTTTCCCCGTCAAGAAGTGCCTAACCAATGCAAATGCAGTCTTGGGTTTGTAGCTTGGCACCTGATGACCAGCTCCGAGAATAGTCGAAAATGTTAGGTCTCCTTGATAAACCTGTGCAAATCCAGCCACCTGCAATTTTTATGCAATCCATCATTCTAGTACTCAATAACCTTTATGATTCATCATCAATTTTAGCCTCTAGAGATCGTCTAACGAAGCCATAGTTATATAGAGTCGGATTCATACGAGAATGGTACCTATTTAAAGAAAATAAGAAAATTACCGAATCACTAACATCACGTACAAAATCACATGTGATTCATGTGACCTTGCCACACGGCCATAGGATCGCTTGCACACTTTTTTGGTCATTACCATAAAATCACATGTGATTTTGTGGGTAATTTGGCCAATTTCTTAAATAGGGACCATTCTCATATGAACCTACCCTCTCTCTCTCTATATATATATGTATGTATATACATACCTCCCCTTGATGAAGCCATTGATGCCATGGAGTCTTTATAGGCAGCTTCATTGAACCAATCGAATACTTGGTCGACGTTACTGGTACCCGAGCATCGGTATCACCACTATCAAACGAAAGAAAAAAAAGAAATACTTTCATATTGTTTTCCAACATCCGAATCCGATATGCTTCAATTTCTTTGTGTCGATACAACAACTTAGTTTTACAGGATGCTAAATATCTTACAGATTCATATAATAAATAAGTGAAACTTTCTGTTCCTAGACTCCGCTCGTAGAATAATTTTTGTCAAATGTTGATAGGACGTTTTGCGTTCTAACATGTTTTTAGGACATTCTGAACTAAACAATCTTATAAAAACATGTGTTCATAAAACAGTTGTCAAAATTGTCATCTAAAAATTCTAAAAGTGTCATGAATAAACTAGTTAGGATGCCCAATACGTCTTTAGCATTCTATTGTAACACTTTTATATAAGATGCACAATTTATTGATTCTATGAACTTAAGTCCTATAAAACAGTTTACGAAACATTTAAACATATTTAGCGTCCTATAAAGCCAATTATATTGTAGTGTGTACATGGTTACCTGAATATCCATACGCGAAGATTATTCTGCATAAATTCCTTAAGAAGTGGAATTATCGTCACAGGACTATCACCCCAGTCGCTGATGATATCGCTGTATAATTTTATCATCATAAATTTATGTCAAAAGATTTAAAATCGTACATTGACACATATGCGTGCTTGCAAATGGAAGAAAACCATCCACAAATGGCTAAAATTACCTGCATAGTTCCCATTCATGATCTAGTTTGGTGACATTAGCGTTTAGAGCTTTTTGCACGTCTTCACGATTCATATAAGCGTATGTATAGTACCCGCTGCATGGATGAATAGTACCCTGCAACTGTTTATACTTTATATAAGCAAATTAAGTTCCATTTTATTTTCAGATTTAGCGTTATATATGGGCAAGGTCAAACAAGAACAGGGTCAACTTAAAAGAAAGCAAGAACGTCTATATCACATGTGATTAAAGAGTGGTCAACCCAGGGATGTGACCTAATCACATGTGATTTTGCTTTAAAATCACATATGCTATATAGACTTTCTCACATTCTCATATTTTGACCAGGTTCTAGTTTGAACCTCCACCTGTATATAGGTATATATACCTATATTCATGAATAAAGATTCATTTACCATCCGCTTCGGCTTGGAAGTAAGGTTTTCATTGAGGCATGAAGGAGCATAGATGTTGTAGACATTGATATGTTCAAGATCGCGATTAGCATCATTGTTTGCTTGATTGCACTCATCCGACTGTGTGGTCGCATTTGAAGAGAAGTCACAGTATTTACGGATCTGATCAATCGTGTCATCTGATAGGATAGCATGCGAACCAAGATAATCATACATCCCTATCGAATCCGTATAATCATTGATCACCGCGTTCCCAATCTGGATATATACATAAAAAATATAAGATCTTCAAGTAAATATTCGTAGAAACTAATGAACTTAGAGCATCCACAAAGGTAATGTTTTCTCCAGAAAAATGAGACCCGCAAGCTTAGGTGGCCAAACAAAAGAAGAAAAGAAGCGGGACCCACAAGGGCGCTTATCGAGGGTTTGTGCAGTTACAGGCAAAAAAGTGTTCTTTTTTCTTTTCTTTTTGTTATGCCTTTTCATAATATGATATGACCAAAAAGTCTTCAAAAAGTTCCATTTTGGATGCTTTTAGGGTTCATGAATCAGGATTGAAGTCCATCAAGAATATTAAAATGCTAAGAAAGAAAGGAATTGAAGAAAGAGTTACAAGGATTCCTTTGAGATTGATTAGGGTTTTCTTGGCAATTTTGTTATAGTGAAGAATGGTATGTGCAAGCTGAGGCACATAGTGTCCTGCATAGCTTTCTCCTGAGATATAAAACTCTCTTCCTTTGTATTCTGGAAATCTTTCCAGCCAATTCAACAAGAATACATAATTGTCAGCAGCAGTTGATGCATCTCCGCAGTTTTGGTAATCCGATGATGAGTTTGAATACGAAAACCCTACGCCCGCAGGTGACTCCACAAACAAAACATTCGCCACTGAAAACATGGAAAAAATAATCAACATTTATATACTTTAATATATGTTGGAACCTTCCTTCCTTCTCGGGAGTTTTTTTGAGTAATCTAATGAGGTTTTACGTATTCAGACACAAATAAAGCTTCAACAATGCCAAATGTAATACCATGATTCCATGCAAATTTGTTTCTGTAAAGAGTTTTGCCATCGCTGTTGACTCGGAATGGCCCAAGCTCCTGCATAGCTCCATAAGCAAGCGAAGAACAACCCGGGCCTGTAAAGCAAATAGTTCATATGTATAAATTAATATACATATATACATGCGGTTTCAATAGGGTTTAAGGTTTAGGGTTTAGGGTTATATGCATCATCTTACCTCCATTGAGCCAAAGGAGGAGTGGTAAAGATTGTTTGGAGCTCTCGGCTTCAACGAAGTAATAGTAAAATGCCCGACCTGCGGATTCATTCACAGTAACATACCCACCATATTGGTTGAATTTGACGAATGGTTGACCAGGCAATCTGTCGATTTTATCCTTCTTTTTCAAACCTTCTTGAGGGAGAACAAGACTGGTTTTATTCAAATGTCGAGGTGGCTCAAAATGGCTGGTGTCGATGGCCGAGTTACCGGCCCATTTGGCCTTGTAGAGAAGAGAAAGAGCCTGTGTTTGTTTGTTGGCTGCATGGATTTGATAAGCAAAAGTTGAAAAGAGAAGCGATATAAAAAGAACCCAATGGGTGATGTTCACCATTGTTACATAGAGTTATTAAACTGGAATCAGGGTTTATATGGTGGGGTTGATCAGATTGCATGGTGATGATGATGATTAAAGTTTTGAATGAAAAGTTAGAATTTCACGGTTACAGAGATTGGGATGAGATTTTTTAGCTGATCAGTTCATGATCATATAACTTATCATGAAAAAAAAATCATTTTATAAAATTTAAAAGAAAACTTGTTATCATGTCACTTTGTTAGATGATAATCTGAATATATATATATATATATAGATATATATATATATATATTTATAGATATAGAGGAAGATTCAATTGCAATCCTGTTTTTCATTGTCAAATGGGGGACAAGAGAATATGAAATGTATCCTTTTTTGTTCTCATTCATCATAAATAATGAACGTAAATTTTTTACAACAATCATAATGAATATCCTGTAAAGCGTTCTCCTTTATCCCCGATTCAACAGAACTTATGTTTATACAACACATCAAAAAGTTCAACCAATGAAATCCACAAGTTCATAACTATAATTATTTATAAAAATATTAAATTGTTATATTAGTTGTTTTTAAGGACAAATTCAATTTAAAAAAAAACACTATACAACATAATAAACAGAGCAAAATTAGTTATATTTTCATTAAATTTGCACCGAAGATATAATCAATATGCCTAATAACAATTAAAATTAATCTATATATATATATATATATATATATACTATATTATAAAGCATTAAGAAAATCCCAGATAAAACACCTCATTTTTAGTTTTCTTTATTAATGTGTATTAATTTTTTAATTTTAAATATAAAATATTTTAAAAATGCTTTAAATTTATTTCTAAAAAACAAATCATAATTAAACAAATAGTAATTGTTTATTTGAATACGGAATTTGAATGCAATAAAAACCCACGTCACTTAACTCTCATCTAACCCAACCACATGAATGAATGAATATAAATAAATATGAGCATGTGCCATCTGTGTTTACCTCCTTAATTCATTCTTCTAATTATTATTTTATGTGTAATTAAATTAAATAAATTGAGTGGCAAAATTTCATTGGTTCAAATTTATTCTCAACCATTTCGTAATCATCACCCAATCATCCTTTTCGTCCTCTTTAATTCTCTCGCCATATCAATTCACCGGCACCGACTCCGCCACGCCACGCCACCACCACCTTACTTTCTACTTTCCACACCACCACCGGCCACCGCCAAAATGAAACAACATGATCACCGACTCGGATGAATCCTCCCATCGCCACCACTGCTAAAACCATATCTTCCGGTGGCCACTAGTGCTTCACCTTTCTCATGCCTTATTTTGGCTTAATTTTCTAACCCCCCAAATAATTGCTTACTTGTTTCACCTGATGAAACAAAGAACATGATCACTGAATTGACTGCTGCCGCCATCACCGCTGCCGGTAGACTTCCTTATACTTTCCACCGCCGTGGCTTCACCAAACCAGCAGCTTATTTTATCATCATCCTCCTATCCTACTACCTTGGCTACTTATCAGCTCTTTTAAAGAATCCATCATATGATCCAAACCACTTCTTCTCCACCACCGATAAAGTCAACCCACCATCACAAACTGCCGATACCGACCACTACCAATTCCAGACTCACTGTGCTAACCCGGTTCCTTCCCAACTCGTCCGCCAAACAATCCTTACCCGCATCTTCAACGGGACATCTCCTTATGAAGGTTTCCCTCAACCCCATATCAAACCTCTCTTACGCCATAAGAGAATCAAAGGTTGGGGATCAACTGGAGCCGTCTTCGAGAACCTCATCCGTGAAGTACAACCCAAAACCATCATAGAGATAGGCACCTTCCTTGGCGCCTCTGCTATCCACATGGCCGAGTTGACTCGTCAACTCGGCCTCGACACTCGGATTCTATGCATAGATGATTTTCGTGGTTGGCCAGGTTTAACACATCGGTTTCGAGACATTAAAATGATAAATGGCGACACCATGTTGTTGTACCAATTCATGCAAAATGTGGTTCAGGTTAATGCAACCGAAGCCATTATATTTTTACCCTTCTCGACTCAGTCAGCTCTCGAGAAGCTCTGCGAGTGGGGTGTGTTTGGGGACCTGATTGAAATCGATGCAGGCCATGATTTTCACTCGGCTTGGTCGGACATCAATCGTGCTTATAAGTTGTTAAAGCCAGGTGGAGTTATTTTTGGGCACGACTATTTTACAGTTGCGGATAATAGAGGTGTTAGAAGAGCAGTAAACATGTTTGCCCGAGTACATGGCTTTCGAGTTAAGGCCGATGGACAGCACTGGGTGCTTGCTTCACTCTAACAGGCCTTTTGTTATCCATGTACCTTTAATGTAAACATACCTAAAGGCCAAACTTAGTGCATCAACACACCTCAGGTTTGCAGTCAACTCTTCCCTTGTAAATTTCTCAAAGGAAAACTGCTTCGATAAGAAAAATGCTGTCCATAGGAAGCACCAATGTTTGGTACGCAGACGGAACTGGACAGGCGAGAGTGAGGTAGGCGGGTGAAAGAATTGTGCAAGGGTTTAGGTTTTAATTTGACATCGATAGTTCAATAATTTACCAATTTAGTCTATCTTCTTGATTTTTGTTCGACCTATTTTGGTGGGACAAAAAAAATTCCTTTTTGCCCCACTCAGTCCTGTCATCTCCCGGTCTTAATGTTGAACCAAACGTGGGACAAGAAGTTTTTGGCATAGTCATGTACCGTCATGTCTCGCGTACCAAACACAGCTTAGTGCGGACTCCCTAAGACTGTCAACTAAGATCTGAAACAGAGGGCTCAAGTTTTGATTCTGATAGGATACTGCAGATATTTGTTATGGATCACGTCCTCCTTTGGAAGGAGGCTTGTGCGGTTTAAGCGTATTGGATGGTGAATTCGAACGTGATGAACACAATCGGCTAATAATTCTGAAAAGCAATACATATGGTATAGCAAGTAAGAGAGAAAGGTGTTAGAAAAAAAAAAGATACAGGTGTTAGAAAAAGTGCTCTTTCGCTGTTTTTGGACACATATATTAATGTGGATCTGTGATCCATTTGTTTAGTATTTTATATGGTTGTTTTCTCCTCCGGGAGAGCTACATAATGCTGTAAAGATTGTCCTACACGGAGATTAAATGAATGAGAAATTGAATCTCAAAAAGTGGTGGCATTGAAGTGGGTTATAAGTGTTGTTTGTGAGAAAGGTCTGTCCCACATAGCTAGGATCTAGAACTTGAAAGGTTTTTTTATATAGCATGGCTAAAATGAGAGAGGATCATTTATATAGCATGGCTCTAATGAAGAAGTTAAGAATCTTAATTTAAGATCTACCATTCTACCCTAGAAAACAGATGTGAGACAGCGAATCTATTTTACGTGACAGAGGCCTCAGCTAACCCGTTTATTTCCTGTCTAATCTTAGTAATTTTTGCCATCGAATCCAATTTATCGTCTTTTCTTAACAGATCTTTTTCCTAGTTAAAGGACTTTGAAAACCCACACTAGAAAATCCTACATAACTCTAGCATTTAGACAGCCGGTAAAGATGCATGTGCTTACTCACCTTAGATTTGAGAAGCATGTACCTAATTTGTCGAATCACATGCACCAATGCCATCTTCATCATCAAAACTTCTTTCATTTGCTGTTCCTAATTCAGCAATATTCACATGCGCAGACCTGCCATTAGATGTTAGAATGTCTACTAAGAAAATGAAAAATCAATAATAAATCTATTATCCGTTCTTCAGCAATCCTCTTAATGAATAGCAGTAGTAAACTCTTTCCAGGAGACATAAGTGACAAAATATCTTGCAAATTATTGTAACAAGTTGAAGAATCACATATTGTTGCATAATGACTTGTTATCTTCACTACTAGGCGATATGCTCAACCAACAGTATCAAGAGGAGACTTGACTACATTGCATGAATTCTTCTCCCTAATTTAAGTCCACAAATGAAACATCAAATGACAAGTTTGGAGGTTATAAAGTCGAGATAGTGAAATCATGTAATCGAAATATCCTAATACTGATAATAGTGAATACCAAAATATATTCACAAAACATTTTAGAGGGTATGGCACTGAAGACATATCAGATGCCATCATTGAGACGAAACAAATCTATACTTATTTATCTCCTATGAGAAAAACAAATTAGAGTTGAAAAATTCGAGCTGTCAATATGTGGAGAAAAAAATTTCTGCTAAATCCTATAACCAGGGATTGCTCAAGTGGTTGAAACTTGCTCGCCTCACACTCATGTATTACCGATTGAATTGCAAGGTGTCTGTCGATGGGCAGTTGGCAAAAATTTAACTCCCTTAGGTGCGGTTCTCAATCTTCACAGAAAATTAACTCTTCTTACTGAATAGTGAACCAAATAGAAAAGGCTATATGAAAAACATGAACATCAACAAGATTGTTCCTCACAAAAGGTCATTGGTCCAATGGTGGGTTGCTTGTAGAGCCCGTCCCTCAGGAGGCCAAGGGTTCAAACCTAACCAACGTAAGGAGTGTGCGTGAGTATTTGCTGTATATACATATTATATACTTCAAAAAACACGACTGCTTCTCCCAGAAAAAAGTGGTTTAGATATTAAGATTTGAGATACGAATAAAGTAAGTGCTCAGGTGCCCCCTAATCATGTTCAAATGTATAACTTCGGCAACTCACTAGAGATTTTAGATATTCTTGGGTATTGAACTACAAGATATTTCTTGAGCATAAGTAAATATGCCTGTGTAAGTCGTAACATCTTTTTCCCAAAGGGTTGAATCAGTGCCTATTGTTATTAAGAGACAGTGAACTTCCATAAAACTTTATCATTATTCAATTGCCAACCACGATACTTATTCGCTAGTAGTATCCATGATAAAAGAATCAGTTGCAGGACAGGTTGTTCAAATGGAGCCTGCCTGAGAAGAACTAGCATAAACAGCCTTGACTGCTATGAGAATACATTTCATCATGAGATACACAATACGAGCTAAACAATTGTTCAACTTCAAAACCAGACTACAATCATTACTGTTATTCCAACACTTAAAACTTCAAGATAGACATTCCAAGTGAGACATGATTCCTTGAAATATTCCATCATCTAAATGGAGTATGGAAAAGATGATCACTTGTTCACATGAGAGGTAAGAGAATTGAGAATAGCGTGAGTTTGCAGTGTTCTAAGAACTGCCATTGTCAATGGCACTGTTAACTTCCATTAAGCTTAAAATAGTAGACTTCCTTCTTTCATTACTTTTTCCTTGCACATGTTTCAGATTAAGGTCCTCCATATGTGATACAAAAAAGACCCAATGCCGGTCCCACGTAAGCCCTGTCTGATCAAAAGACAGGTTGAATTCTGCATGAGCAAGGAATGGCCAATCCAAGTGACCCGGGCTGATCAAAAGACAGGTTGAATTCTGCCCGGGCAAGGAATGGCCAATCCAAACCCCGTCCCGCTCCAAACTTATCATGCCATAGCACAAACCTTTTACATCTTTGGAAATTGGAATGTAATTCACACTTAATATTTTGTATGATTTTTGTATCTGTAGGCTTTTCATTTCTTTTCCAAGTCGATTTTTTAAGTCTAACATCTCTTTTAGCTGATACTTGTAGAATTAAAAAGTCTAGGGACCTGTCCAGCCTGATGGTCTCATTGCCTCTGCCATATACCTATTCCAGGTACACCCACAAGGACCATAACCGCGGCTGGTCATAACCCATCAGGCGAGACTATATGCACACCACTTCACTACTATTTCCTATGTGGGAAGTACTTATGCGTTTGCTACTCAGCCTAGTCCCTAACTCCTTCCTTTAAGCTAAAAACAATCCATTACCTTATGCCAATGATTTCCATCCAATTGCCAAATGAATGTTAGATACTCGGATTAATAAATGGTGCAAAACATAATCACTATCACACATGGATGGATCCAATGTAGAGCATATAGTGGCCCGTGCCATCATATTGCTCATCCGTCATAGTGTAAAAAATTCTAGGATCGTGAAAAGTACCATACTAGTTTGTTGTGTGCCACTGTATATATTTTGAAACTACAATGAAAACACAAGTTTCCCTTGGTTGGTTTGCAAGGCTTTTCTTCCACCCCATACCCGAGTTTGAATCCCGTTAATGTTATTTTCTTAGTTTTTAACTTTTAATTTCAGACCGATGATGATTATGTGAAAAAATATTCCTATATTTGTTTCTTATAGTTAAATGATGCCACTGTTTGAAATAAATTCCGAGTCCCTCCCTGATATTACATGTGTTAATATATCATGAACTTACCAGATGTCTGGTAACCTTAGAAATGTATGCCATAGAATCATTAAGTAAATAGAAAACTTGATATATGCAAGCGCGAAACGGAATAGAAAGCAAGGTCCAAATGGTCGAAGAAAGTAAGTACCAGGTGGATCCAAATAATTTATGCACTTCCATCAAGAGATTATAGATACCATGATTCAAAGCTTAACACACTACAAAAGTAGACACACGCAGATATATATTTGAACAGAAACCATGTAACAAAAAATGGTACTCAATTGAATCAAATCCTCAAGGAACATAAAGGGAAAAAAGATAGAGAAAGATGCGTGTTCTTACGTTGTAGATCTGCCTGGATTTTCCGACGCCGATTAGGGCTTCTGTTCCCATTTTCGAAACGGGGAGAGGCACAATAGGGTTTCGAACATCCCCATTGTTTTTCTTGTCTGAAATTTGTACCACATCAGAAACACGATGAGGAGGCCGCAGGAAGCTCGTTTCAATTCACGTTTTAACAGTAAACTAATACAATCTTAATAAAATCTGAGTTATAACAAAGAAATAGCAATATTGTGGGGGTGGTTGGTATTGCTCATAAAAACAACTTATTTTGGTGGGATATCGGTAATAAATATTTTTGAATGTTTGGATGAACAGTTTATATCAGTGTCAAACAGGTAATAAGGAGTTTTTTGAATAAGTTAAATCATTCTAACTTATAATAAGTTGATAAGGACTTTTGTAGAAAAATATAAGTTGTTTCAAATAAAAAATCCCAACCAACCCTATAATTTCCAAGTTATAACCTCTCGTTGTCCGTTCTATATATACTACCCATTGCCATATCATTGATCCTTAGTGTAAGTGTAGATCTCCCTCTTTTTTAGTCTGTTTTTCTTGTCTTCTGATTATCTTTCTTGTACAACAATTTAATGGAGTACGTATAGATAAATAAATAAAAAAAGAAAAACTAAAAAAAAAATCAAAAAAGGGAGATCAATGGAATGGACCAACTTCAGTAATGCGTTCAGCAGTAATAAAGAACGGATGACAATGGCGTAGCAAGGGATAGCAAAGACGTTAATATATGAGGGGTTTAAATGATGTAAGATTTGGAAATAATAAAACTGATTTAAGATTTTTTTTACTTTAAAAATATTATAGTTTGTTACATATATTTTTTCAAGGTATTATTGAGGGGCAACAAGTGATCAAATTGACCCTTTTCATCCCAAACGTAACCAAACTCCAAAATACTTAATTTTTGTTATTCTAAGGATAAAATATGTATAAAACTTGAATTTTACTGACTTAAATTTTCCAGGTGTTGTATATTATACTAGAAGGGTACATGTGTAATGTAGCAAGATAAATCTTCATTTTAGTGTTTAGTTTTTATTATTTGTCTCTATCGATATAATACGATTTTATGTGGTTTTGAGAAAACGATAATGTTTTGATTTTTTAATGAAATATAAATCTGAAGATAGCATAATTTTTTTTAAAAAAATAAATAAAATTGATTATTAGCATTAAATTAACTATTTAATAGTTCTCGGGGTTTTTTTTTTTTGTGTAACTTATTTAATTTAATTTTTTATTATAATTTAATTTAAGTCTAATAACAAAGTAATTTATCTTTGGTTCAATAATGTAATTTTGTACAAATATAATAATTAAACATTTTGTTAGAAACTCAATGGTTATCTTAATTATATTTTAGATTTTCTATATTTAAAATAGATGTTTATCTCATATTTGATTATATTTATCTGCATTTAGTTACATGAATTTAAAAACGAAGTTTTAATAAGTTGTACTTACGCAAAATCACTTATAATCTTGAATTTTAAGTAATATGCATCAATAAACAGTACTTCATGCATACAAAATGGTTTTTAAGAGTTTTTGTCAAATGATTTATAATATAGTATAGATACTATAAAATTATTTTTAATACTTACATTTTATACTCTTCTAGTTATTTATTTAATTTATTAATATCCTTTACGTTTTCATTTTACATCTTTATTTTATTAACATACATAATCATATATTAACTAAAATACATTAAAAAATACGTTTCCTTTTCTATTTACAAATCACAATGTTATAATCATTTCGTCTTTACCTTCAAAATGAGCCCAATCTTAAACCCTCATCCCACAAGTGATTACTATTTGACATCCACTGATTATTCGGTACTACACTTTCTCAGTATGCAAGCAGTTGCTCTATAACAAACGAATTACATCAACATATTCGTCCTGTCAATGCCTTCAAATCGATTGTTTTACAACAAACAAAATAAGAAAAATAAGATTACTACTAATTTGGGACTTATGAGTTGGAAACATTCGAGTTTAACTGATGTATGAATTGATGATTCATTGAGAATTGTAAATGAAAATATGAGATGACAAGAATTATGGGTTGTTTGTTTGCCTCTTAATAGTTTCATTAAGAGGTAACTTCTGAATCGTTAAAAGGTGAATCTTGTTTGGTAAAAATCATGCTTCTTAATGGTTCTAAAATCCTCTGAATGATTTTGTATCATAGGTTTCCCTTAACAATTCAGCACCTTAATTCCATTGTAAACAATTACTGAACAATCTGTTTCATTTTGCACTATATCATGAGAGCCTCTTAATCATTATGACCACTTAATCATTTTGCACCAAACTATTTAGCAACTGCCAAATAGCCCCTTAGAGCTTAGCAAGGGCCAAGGGATTTTGATATATATATATATATTGCAAAACAACTAGGGATGTTAAGTTGGGAGAAAAAAACATGGGTTGCTTCAGTTGTTTTTTGCCACTGCAGATAAATCCATCATCAAACTCGTTCAACATGTGGTTTTTACAATCAGATACGTTAATGTTAACCGTTTTTGTAAGAGCAGTATTAACAAAAGATTACCAGATGTCTACAATTACGCAACAACGAATACATTAGAGATCTCCCGAGACAACTACATAGACTACCGCATATCAATTTCGATTAAATGTGTACACAGAATATTTATATTGTAACAGTGCTCGGTCAGGAATATGTTGATATAAATGATTAAAATCGAGAATTTCACCTACAGAGAACGAAATTGCACCTTCGATTGAGACATTCACCTACAGAAATCAATCAAAACCTTCAAATAATAGAAACCAAAATCGAACCTTCCATTGAAACCTTCAACCAGTTGCTACTGAAATCGAAAAAAGTTTAGGGTTTTTCGTTCAGGATTACTTTATGAAAAGGGTTTAGGGTCCTTCATCATATAAGCGACCTTTGACAGTTCCTTATTTCTCATATCTTTTTTTGTCATTTTACATGTATAAACAAAATTTGTCAAACACTAAAAAATAACTTATCAACTTATTATATATTAATACCATCATAAACTAATTCAAACATTTTTTACAAAACTTCAGTTTAACACCATATAAATTGATAAATGCTCTTTAAAAAAAGAGAGCATAATTTGTATTTTTTAAAGTAATTTTTTTGACTGTTCAAGTCAAAAAGCATAAACTGTATCACTTATAAACCCCGCCAAAACCCTAAAAAACGAACCCTTCTTCCTGCTCACCTCCGTTTTCTCCAGAGGGTTTCAGTCAGCTTGGAAAACCTACAATAATGGAGGTCGATATGGGAGAAGGATCAAGTGAGTTGAGTAACAACGTCATGTGTCAATTAGCGGACCCAGAAGGAACTCCACTGGGAGTGTCCATGTATCTTCCCCAAAGCGTTGGTCCTAAGGAGCTTCAACAGATGGTTAACAAGTTGCTCGACAATGTAAACCCCATTTAACTTTGATTTATTGTATTTTTTATAGTCGAAATGTTCGATTTAGTTGTTTTTATTCTTGGAACTGGAAATTAAGATGCATATGGGTTTTCTGATGAACACATCTCACTTGGTATTACATGAAACTTGATTAACAGATAGGTAAGATCATATAATGGTGAATTATGGACTGATGACATAGCAACGAATCGGGATGCTATTTAATTTGGGTTTTTTCCTTTTCAGTTGAAAATATGTAAACCCTCTGTCTCCTCCTGTCCCAAAGAGACGCTTGACTTTGATTAAGGAAATTATTCATCTCTAGCTAGATTATCCGTATGTCCTTGCCCTTTACTCTTAAGTACGATAATGAAGGAAAAGTTACCCTAAATTTAAATTATTTTATAGATTTTTCAAGTTCAAATTAAGTAGGGATGATGATGTACTTGGCCACTCAGGTTTTAAGTCGAATAGTTTAGCTACTTCTAAGTCAGCTAGAATTAAGGGTAGATTGCTTAATTTTAAAAAAATTGTTGCATATAATATGTGAATTCCTATAAAGTAAATTGGCTTTAGGGGGAAGATGTAGTACATCTTATTTCATTTTTAGGAATGTATCCTGTTCATTGCTTTGGTAGCAAGCACTTCATTGTTTGGAGAAAATCCATGAAGAAGTCATGAGACAGTTGAACTGCTGTTGTGTTCTCATTTTCAGTAGTGTAGTAGTGAAAGGTAGAAACTGATGGCAATTACTTAACCTTTATATTGAATATATTTTTCTACATCCAAAGTGATTATTGCGAACTGTAAACTTTTTTGGTTCTTTCAGGAGGAAAAGCTGCCATATGCCTTTTATATATCCGACCAAGAGCTTGTTATACAACTAGGAGATTATTTGCAGAAGAATAAAAGTAAATAGATCCATATTCTGTCATGGTTGTTATTTGTTGTATCATACAGTTGCTGAACCTAGAAATGTTATTTTGTCTGCTTTCAGTTTCTGTGGAGAAGGTGGTCACAATAGTGTATCAACCGCAGGCAGTATTCCGTATTCGCCCAGTTAATCGTTGTTCTTCTACAATCGCTGGTATATTTCAGACATTCTGTTGACATATTATGGTGACTATGTTCTGTAGATAACACTTACTGCAGTTGATATGCTCGATCAATATTCTGTCATGGTTGCTGTACTTTTTAATTAATGCAATATTGCATTTTTACTGCAATGGTCTATTGGCCTAAGGATTGATCCTTCTTTTCATGGTTTGCTTTGTGGATTTCTGTAGTTGTCTTGTTTCTTTGTCTTTTAAGTAATAAAAATTGCTTCAGAATGTATTTGGACATGTCATCGTGTTTTTACTGGTAGTAGTGATTTCTATCCTTGAGAGTGAACTTCTTCTTCACATGCTTGTAGTATATTTCTCTAATCTAACATAAAGGCTGTCTGTTTCACATAGTATGCCTACCTTGAATTCACAATTTTTGTTGTTGTAATGTTGTCCTTGCAGGTCATACTGAGGCAGTACTTTCAGTTGTCTTTAGTCCTGATGGACAGCAGCTGGCTAGTGGTTCAGGTGATACAACTGTCCGGCTGTGGGACTTAAATACCCAAACGCCTCTGTTCACTTGTACAGGTTAGAGACCATCATTAACAAGTTTACTTTGCTTAAAGGGACATAATAACTGTAGTCATTCTGAATGAAAAACCACCGTTGGGCTCGGCCAATTCCCTTATTTCCTTTAAGATCCCTCCCTCCCTCCTCTCACCCACACAAGGCTGCCTATTTTTCTAAACCTAATTGTAATTTGTATTGGAAGTTGTCTTCTATATTGAAACTTCATTATAACAAGCGCTTCTGTTGGCATTGTTGTGTTATAGTGTTATTTTTTCATTTCTCTCATCTGGGTTTCTTAGGGAAGGCCTGAAATTGTTGTTAACACAAGCACAAAACTTATTATTAGAGGATTGCTAATAGTGTCAGTTTTATTTATTTATTTATACTTCACATGTATTCAGGACACAAGAATTGGGTTCTCTGCGTTGCATGGTCACCAGATGGTAAGCATTTGGTTAGTGGAAGCAAGTCTGGAGAACTTCAGTGCTGGGATCCACGGACTGGGAAACCATCTGGCAATCCACTCACCGTAAGATCTCTTTAATTATGTTCAATTAATCAGGTACCATATTCCAGGATTCTTAATCAGTCAGTTATTTTAACGTTTGGGTGACATGTACCATCACTCGTTGTACAGCAGTCTGTAAATAGTATCCAATTTGAGCACAGACCTATACCTAATTTGATAATAGTTAAAATATGTTATTTGATAAACTTAAATTTCTGTTTATCCAACATTAGCCAAATACAACTTCAGATTTTGCTATATTGATTTGATAAAATATTCGACCTGTTATATTTTGAATAATTACACATAATTTAATAAGCATATGTACATTATACATCACAATATATATATATATATGTGTGTGTGTGTGTGTGTGTGTGTATCACATATAATATAATACAAATATAATCATGTGTGTGTATTTACTAATTTACATAACTATAAATTATTATGTTGATAAACTAATAATGTGTAGATAATGCAATCTAGCTACATATAATACAAATGTAATTTATCTTTTTGGCCTCAAGCTCTTCTCTACTTTTCAAACTCTTAAAATTGTTTTGACCAACTTTCTAAAGCACTCTAGTTTTTTCAAAACCTTTTTGCAAACACATTTTCACAAGTTGGGGGTCTTTACAAAAACGACCGCTCTACTTCTTTGGTAGAGCATAGGTTTGTGTACCTCCGCGTGGGACATAGTTCATTTGGTCTGACTTGGTTTAAATACACAAATTTAATTTATTTATAGAATACGAGTCATGGTTTGTTTTGATACGTAAATAGTGATTTAGAATATTTACATTTTTCATCGATTTAGAATTTCTCTTTTATTTTTTGAGGATTTGTTATTTTTAAAATTTTCAAATCAATTGACCTTTTCAATTTTAGGCATAAAAGTACAAAATTTATTCTTTTGGGAATTGGATACGAATAAACAAATCAGATTAGGGTTAGTTTTTTAAGTTTGTCATTTCTGTTTGCCTTTTCATAAAAGAATTTGAATAGAATCTGACTAATTGGATTTGTATATCAAAATTTGATCCTTTTGAACTTGAACTTGAATTAGAATCTGGATATCAGTTTCCTTAACAAATTCAAATTCGGGTATGTCCAGATTTTCAGTTTACAGCTTAACATAAATTGCCCTTGTTTAAAAATCAAATCCCTGTAGTTTCTCATTGATGCTATACTTAAATGCTTCTCTCCCTGTCTCTCTTTTAATAGTTAGAGGCTTGATTTGGTGCTAGAACTTGTTGATTTGTCAGTGAAGATATATTTTCCTAGTTGAATTGATTTATGTAGAGATGAGCCTTATTTAAACTACAAAAGAGAGCACTTAAATTTTTACTAGATCTGTTATGTGAAGATCTTAATGTGACGATGCGTGCATATTTTGCAACATTATATATGTTCTTATGTCATTATTGGATTAGTTTCCAAAAATACCTTTTGGCAAATCATTGACAACAACAGCCCCATACAGTTAAAGTGAAGCTTTCTTTGGGCCCGGTAATTAACTAGGAAAGCCAATCTATCATTGACATTATACAACTTGTAGTTGTGGTACCGGTAGGCGCATTTTGTTAGCTAGGCATATGCCATCTCATGCTTAAACTTTCTTATGGACTATGGTCAGTATGCTGGGAAAAAGGCCTAGTGGGTTGTTACATATTTATTATATACTGCAAGCATTATTTCCACTTTAACAGTCTCCATTCCTTCTAAGGACGTCCTACATTGAATGTCTATCTAAACTACGCATTCCTTTTATATTCAACAAACGTTTTTGATTTAATAATCCAGTACCTTCTTTCGGAACCCATAAATAAGATGAACATTAAAAAGTGCGGGGTCGTATGTCAAGATTTGTTCATTTTTTAATCTTAGTTTCACTTTAAATAAAGATATACCGTGGGATGGAATATTTCCTCAATGAATATTCTGGGAACGACATTTACAATTTAAACTCAAGGAAAGCATCTAGAATGTTTGGAAAACTCAAATCCATCTCATTGTTGCCCAAATTAAACTAATAGTATGTAAAGGCATAACCATGCTTGCCAAGAGACTGTAGTTTGAACCTCGGACCTCCATACTCAATTAACATCCTACACCTGTGCCAAAGGCTTTCATGATCAATAGGACTGTCATTTTGACGGGTGTCGGGTCCGGCAAATAATAAAATTTATGAAAATACGCCTATTAGCTCTAAAACACACTTGTGATAGCGATAAGTAGGGTCGTCTCCTCAGGGACTCGGTGCTAACCGTAGGTCCAAGACGTAAATGCGTGCAAATTCGTTAACAATAAAACAATATATAAAAAGGGGGG